AGCCCAAACTTGATCCGGATGTTTTAGCCAACTATAGACCTATATCTAACCTTCCATTTCTCTCTAAGGTCCTGGAGAAAGCAGTTGCTAAACAGCTGTGTGACTTTCTACAGAGCAATAGTTTATTTGAGGATTTTCAGTCAGGATTTAGAGCTCATCATAGCACAGAGACAGCACTGGTGAAAATTACTAACGACTCACCTTATTGCATCAGACAAAGGACTTGTCTCTGTACTGGTTTTATTAGATCTTAGTGCTGCATTTGATACCATTGACCATCAGATCCTATTGCAGAGACTGGAACATTTCATTGGCATTAAAGGAATCGCTCTAAGCTGGTTTAAGTCCTATTTATCAGATCGATTTCAGTTTGTACATGTTAACGATGAGTCATCCATGCACGCCAAAGTTACTCATGGAGTTCCACAAGGATCTGTCCTCGGACCAATCCTCTTCACTTTATATATGCTTCCTTTAGGCAATATTATCAGGAAATATTCCATAAACTTTCATTGTTATGCAGATGATACTCAGTTATATCTATCGATCAAGCCAGATGAAACTCATCAGTTAACTAAACTTCAAATTTGCCTTCAGGATGTTAAAACCTGGATGACCTGTAATTTTCTAATGTTAAACTAAGATAAAACTGAAGTTATTGTTCTGGGGCCTAAGCACCTCCGTGACGCATTATCTAAAGATATAGTTTCCCTTGATGGCATTGCCCTGGCCTCCAGCACCACTGTGAGGAATCTCGGAGTTATCTTTGATCAGGACATGTCGTTTAAGTCTCACATTAAGCAAATTTCAAGGACTGCCTTTTTTCACCTACGAAAATCAGGAACATCCGGTCTTAAAATGATGCAGAAAAACTAGTCCATGCATTTGTTACTTCTAGGCTGGATTACTGCAATTCATTATTATCAGGCTGCTCGAAAAAGTCCATTAAGACTCTTCAGCTGATCCAGAATGCTGCAGCATGTGTTCTGACAGGAACCAGGAAAAGAGATCACATTTCTCCTGTTTTAGCTTCTTTGCATTGGCTTCCAGTATAATCCAGAATAGAATTTAAAATCATTCTTCTTACCTAAAAAACTCTTAATGGTCAGGCACCATCTTATCTAGGAGCCAGAGCGTTCAGCTATCAAGCTCCTCTCCTGTGGAACCAGGTTCCAGTTTGGGTTCAGGAGGCAGACACCATCTCCACATTTAAGAGTAGGCTTAAGACTTTCCTCTTTGATAAAGCTTATAGTTAGGGCTGGCTCAGGTGAGTCCTGAACCATCCCTTAGTTATGCTGCTATAGGCCTAGACTGCCAGGGGATTTCCCATGATGCACTGTGCTCCTCTCTCCTCTACTTTCTCTCCCTCTGTATGCAACCTCATCCCATTAATGCATGTTATTAACTCAACTTCTTCCCTTTCCGGTAGTCTTGTGCTTTCTGCCTCTTAAACAGAAGTTTTTCCTTGCCTCTGTCACCTAGTGCTTGCTCTTGGTGGGAATTGTTGGGTTTCTATGAACATCATCACAGAGTACGGTCTAGACCTGCTCTTTTATGAAGAGCGCTCTGAGAACAGTTGTTGTGATTTGGCACCATATAAATAAAATTGAATTGAATTGAAATTCTAGGTGATGTCTGTTCCACCCTGGAAATCGGGGAAGTCTGGTCACCCTATCCTATGGAAGTATGGATGTTAATGTTTAAAAACAGCTCACACATACAGTAGTTTCATGTTTAAAAAGGCTCAGTAATTTCCTGAAACAGCTGCTCACTGTTCATGTATCAAACAAATAGGAAAGTGCATTTGTTGGGGACTACTTTCGGCGGTGGATGAATCCACATGTGGTGCTCTAGTGAGTTTTTGGGGCAGCACAACAGTCTATATGGGACAGAGTCAGAATAATCTGCAGTGTGTGCGTTCATGGTGATGAAGGAACATGTGATCCAGTGCAGCAGTGAGGCTGATGTTTTAATAGTTTCTGAACAAGAGACATCAGGCTGCGATTTCATGACTTTGGTGATTTACCTCCTGCCAGAAGAACAATGAAACAGAAAGCCTGGTTCTTGTTCATATAATTGCAACTATTTTATTTTATGTGTTGTCATAACTGTTGTAGCGCTTTTAAATGCTTAATAAAGTAGTTATAGTTGTTAACATACAGTAGTATGGTAGAGGGTACGAGGTACTGGTGGAGACGAGGTTTTTGTACGACGCTTTTTCACTGTGTGAACACATCCTGACTGTTGATTTCATGAAGACTCTGACAGTAGTAAACTGCTGCATCTTCAGCCTGAACTCCACTGATGGTCAGAGTGAAGTCAGTCTTTGATCCACTGCCTGTAAAACGACCTGGAATCCCTGATTCTCGACGATTTGCCCAGTAAATGAGCAGTTTAGGAGTTTCTCCTTCTCTCTGTTGGTACCAGGCTAATATGTGGTCAGAACCATCAAAGTACACAGCAGGACTGACGCTACAGGTGATGGAGACGGAGGCTCCCAGAGCAGAGCTCACTGCTCCAGGCTGAGTCACTGTGATCTGGCCTCTGGACTCTGAGGATACAGAGACAAACACATAAAGCAGCGTCATGGTTTTGTGGGCTTCATTTCAGAGGGACGGATGTTCATAGAGGAGAGGAGTTTGATTCTCTGGACTTTACCTGTGAAGCAGCAGCAGAGGAGAGTCCAGATGAGGACGGAGACCAAAGTCATGTTTTTGATGAGGAGGATTTCTGTGGCTTCTGTTGTCATGAAGGACAGCTGTCAGTCATCCAGTGTTCAACTCTCAGGACTATAAAGTCTCCCAGAGCACTGGAGCATGGTGCTGCTGATGCAGAGTGGCTCTCTATGGAAATGCTCTGACTGACTCCAACAGGGACTTGGATTACTCTGATGATGCTGCTTCTCAATGGATCAATACGTTTACCAGAGGATTGATTAGGAATGTGTCAGTGATCATTTTTATGGACATTTGCTTTGATGACTGCAGAAAGATTTTCTTTTACAACATCTTCTGTCTGCTTTCATTTCATTCTAGAGGGATCAATTTGACTTTCAGACCAATGGAACAATATATACGTAAAAATGGGATTCATTCTGAACAACTGTGTCACTGTTTGATTAATATAACATTAAATAGTTCATTCTTTTAAAAACAGGAAGTGTGTTTGTTGAGTTTGTTGTGTTCAAAGTCAGAGAGCCGTGTCTCTCTACAGTGAGAGGTTTTTGTACGACGACTCAATCAGTTTGTATCACTGTGGTACACGTTCGGTGGAGGAACCAGACTGGATGTTAACTGTAAGTACTTTTGACTTCTACATGAACTCAGATTTAATATTTTCTTTTTATATTGAATAAAAACAAGCTTTAGTTAAAGATGTTGGTTGATAGTTGAAATTGAATATTATTGCAGTGACCATTACTTCACTGTGATACAGATAAAATTCTGTCTGATGAAGAAACTCTTTAGTTACACTTAAAATGTTCATTTACACAGTTTGTACATTCTTGTAATTTAGTTGTTTTTAAAAACTACTGTTAGTTATTAAAGAAAATATTTGATTCGTAATTTTGTCCTCTGAAAAGAAATTATGTGGAAAAACTTTGACTAAAACAAAATATACTTAATTGATTTAAATGTAAAAATCTTCAAATTTCAGCTGAAGAAATCTATCAAGCATTTATTTAGTGAGTGTTTTATCTGGAAACATTGAATGTGTTTTACTCAGTCTTCCTCCCAGACTGATGAATTTAACGACATGTCACATCCTCACTATAACCAATGAATATCATAATATCACTGCAGTTAGTTTAATCACATGCTGTATTGGTAGAATATTTGTTTGATCTGGAAAAAGCATTTGTAGCACTTCAAACTGTTTTCAGTAGTTCAGTCCGTCTGTTGTCGTGGTTCAGTAGTGATGTCTGCGTAAATGAAGAGAGCAAACACACACCGTCTCTGATGAGTTTGGATTTGAGCTGAAAAATCTGAAGAACAAATAAAAGTCTTTAATTGTTTAACTCTGAAGTTTAAGATGTTAATTCAGATAAAGAGAGAGTTTCCCGCCCGAAACTTTATCTTCATGGTTCAGCAGTGATGCCTGTCTGTTGCCATGGTTACTGAGCTGAGAGAGGGAAGTGAAACCCTGAAGACCAGTTTCATCCAGTCTGAGGAAGACCAACAGAACCAGCAGCCTCCTCTGCTGCAACCAACAGGGTGGAGTTTATTTTCTCTGTGCATGAACTTTCTTTATGTTGTCTCTCTGTCTCCTCCTCCAGTGGGTGATGTCCGTCCCACCCTGACGGTGCTGCCCCCCTCCAGCGAGGAGCTGCAGCAGGGGAAGGCCACGCTCATGTGCCTGGCCAACAAGGGCTTCCCCTCAGACTGGAGTCTGGCCTGGAAGGTGGACGGCAGCAGCAGCAGCAGCAGCAGCAGCAGCTGGGAGGAGAGCAGGAGCCCCGGGGTGCTGCAGAAGGACGGCCACTACAGCTGGAGCAGCACCCTGAGGCTCTCTGCAGACCAGTGGAGGAAGGTGGGCTCTGTGACCTGTGAGGCCACCCAGGGCTCCCAGACTCCGCTCTCAGAGACACTGAGGAGAGACCAGTGTTCCCAGTCCTGACCTGACTCACTGGGACTCTGCTACTGGTTTTCCTCTGCTCCTGCTCTCACTCTGCACTCTGGAACTGTCTCTCTCTTTTATTTGACATCTTTCAACAGCAAGATTTACTAGCTTGTTGCACTGTTTCAATATTATTTCAGTGTTTCCAGATAATAAAGACCTTTTCATCCAATCGGCTGTTTTCATGTTTATTATCATCAAAGTGTCTTAATAAATGTTCTCTTGATGGTGTCAGTGACTGTTTTACATCCAGAGAACAACAGTTTAACGTCATGATATATTTCTAAAGTTACAGTATATTGAGAGATTTTAAAGTCAGACATAACTCCTCATTATATTTTGATTAGTACAAACCAGTGATGGTCGTAGAATTCCATATTTTATCACAATCAATTTGAATTCATTCATGACTGTAAAACCTTTCCTGCTGTCGTTACAGATTTTTCTGTAATAATAAACCTTTTTGGAACAAAATCCCTGGTAAAACTGTCTTAATGGTAATAACTTTAATCTTGTAATTGTTTGTTTATCCAAAGAACCTTTTCATTTGAATAAAACTAAAGATGATAAAAGGAAATAATTTAAATGTTGCTGATTTATTTACTCCATGAACCTTTTGGTTCCATTATGAAATAAATGTGTTTGCTGGAATAAAAAACACAAATTAAGTTATTTATACATGTTGTTATAGACATGATTGGTCATTTTGATTAGATGAATGAAATTAGATTTTATTGAGATGATATTTCGTTAAGTATGTTGAAGTTCCTATGAAAAATTGTAAGATATAAAATCATAAGAATTTACAATTTTAGTGTTATGATACTTTGTGAATTTCAGAAGAATAGTTCAATTAGATTATAAATGTTTGGCTTAAATACAGAATATTTAGTGTTGAATTATTGTCTAAAAGTTTTTTTTATACACCTCTCTTTTAGTTTCAGTGCAGCTGTTGAGTCAGATCAGTTCCTCTCCAGCTGAGGGAGGTTTTTGTACGACGTTGTATCACTGTGTGAACGGTCTGCTGTTACTCTGCTGACAGTAATAAACTCCTGAATCTTCAGCCTGAACTCCACTGATGGTCAGAGTGAAGTCAGTCCCAGATCCACTTCCACTAAAACGATCTGGAACTCCAGACTGACGAGTTGTAGCTGCATAAATCAGGAGTTTAGGAGCTTCTCCAGGTTTCTGAAGGTACCAGCTGAGCCAGCTACTAACACTTGTACTGGTTTTACATTTGAGAGAGACAGCCTGTCCTGGAACAACAGACTGAGATCCAGGAGACTGAGTCAGGATGATTTGTCCTGATGAACCTGGAAAAGATGAAAAAGAGGAGAAGGGTTATTGAGACAAATCCAGCTTGGAGAAAGATGATCAGCATCCAAACAGAAGAGTCTCATTTCTTTAAGATGGAGAACAGATGGAAGAAGGTAAATGCTGCTTGTTTCAGTGTTTCTCCATCACAGCAGAACATCATTGTGGTGAAGCTGGTTGCATCCTGAAGCAAAGTTTTCAGAAGAGAGTCTCACCCTGAACAAGGAGCCCCAGGGTGGCCAGCAGTAGAATCAGTGACATCATCATTGTGCTGCCGGCGTGTCAGTGGCTCTGAAAGGCCTGGACAGCCACTGATCAACACTGGCCTCTTAACGGCTGGGAGCAGAGAGGCAGGACAGATATGCAAACACACAGAGTCAGTGAACTGTAGCTGTCCTCAACATATCATGCTGTTTCCTCCTCACTGCTGGGACAGCTGCCTCACAAACAGGCTATATTTGTGACATGAAAAAACCAAATTAGAAGGTTTCAAATTGACCTCAAACTGTCTTTGGGTTGAATTCATTCAGCAGAGTGAGGAGGATTCAGACTTAGACAGTCAGGGCACACAGGGACTGTTCAGTCATTTATAGATCAAAGTGAAGATGAAAAAGCTTCCTGGCAAGTCAGAACAGATGTAACTGAGAATCCCCAGGTGATCAGGAATGTTGCAGTCCCTTCTTATGTATTTGTTGCCATTTAATTTCCCTTCTTCCCATAAATCTTGGCTGAATGTCAGCGTTCCTCTGGGTTGATTAAAGGATCATTCAGATCACCTGTTGCACAGGGTGTGGGGACTGACTCCTCAACAATGACTGAGAGCAGCTTGGTGATTCTCCTTTTAGTAAATCAGGGTGTGATGACGCCCATTCTTAAAGGCGCAAGAGAGGTGGGCAACTGCACACTCAGGGCTAGTGAAGTGCTGCAAGAACTGAAGCCTACATGTTGCTACCTGCCACTATGTTTAAATTGTGTTTAAAAAAGTTTCCTTAATCATGAATATCTGCCGTGACAGCAAACTGTATGAAGGCAGTCTAAGCTACAATTCGTGCTTGATGACCAGTGGTGACAAGCACATTAACTCAGAGTGTGCACGTTCAGTCAGTCAGTGTCGTCCCTCAGACAGCATCACGACCCAGAAGTTTATCCGTGACTTACGGTTCACGTGTCATTCACGAGTTAAACATTTGCATAAGTGGCTCGAAACGGTTGCCTGAACAATCTTACCTGCTGATCCCACAGCTGTTCACAACTCCTCCCTTGACAAGGAGAGTGCATTTTAAACTGGCATAACACAGGTTAATTATAATCAATGCACGTAAAAGATGCAAATGATTTTTTTTTTTTTTAAACCTGTCCTGCCCAGCAGCCTGGTATAGAGTATAATGACCTGGATACCATATTGTGCCAGACAGATTTTACTTTAACAAGAGAGTATTAAAATACTCCTTTGTCTGTTTTATTATTTATTTAATTATGTATTAATTTGTCACCGGGCCGGACAGGGGGGCAGACACGGGGATGGGGGGGCACAAACAGACAGCACAGAGAAAGGACAACACCTGCAAGAGAAGGGGGAAACGGGGATGGAAATTGGGGACAACAGGGAAAAGCTGTGGGAAACACCAATTGCAGAAAGCAACGAAACCTGCAATAGAACAGAGAGGGGGGCTTGGGGAGGAGAAAAACAACAACAACAAACAAACACAAACAAAAAAATAATAATAATAGTAAAAGACAACCAGCCGAACAGCAGCAATAAACAGCTGACATATTAAGACAACTAAGAGAACAATGAAAACAAGAAACAGTCACACACACTAAATAAGCAACACAGCACAGCCACGAGAGCTGGAATAATAATTAATTTAAATAAGTAACTGAAAGAAAAGCATCAGGAATAATTCTACCAGGGACAACCTAAGTTTGTTTGTGTCTGTGTGCATGTGGGTGAATGTGTCTGTATGTGTGTGTGTGTGTGTGTACATGTGTGTGCGCATAAGCCTGTTAAAGAATGTAGTTGTTAGAGAGAGTGGGACGCCACGACTGTAACAGGCAGGCAAGAACCCCAGTAGCCAATAGGGGTGGAGGAAAGAAAAAGAATAAATCAAATAAAAAAAAAAACAAAGACTCCCAGATGCACCGCGATGCAAACGCAGAAGACCCCGACCCAAATGCCAGTTGACAACGTAATGCCGACGGAAAGCAAAAGAGGAAGAGCAGCGCCCGGACCGACCGCGGCGCGGACACAACATAGACCAGTGGCCCCCCCCATCCAGCACCCCACCGCCGCGCAGCAAACAACCAAAATGCCCAAATGCCACACAATCAACACCAATGCACAAGTGACGAGCCCAACGCGCACACTGCGCGAGCACGGCGACACCCATACCCAGCAGCCCCCCCTCGAATCCCGCGTGCGAGGTCGGGCAAATGAGAGAGAGCAAACGGAACAACACGACAGCGAAAGCCAGAGGAGAGAAACACCAGCAGCAAGTCCCAGCCCGGCAGCAAACGTGCCGCACAGGTCACCGTGCACCCGCCAATAAAAGTCCACCGTCCCCCCAACCGCCGGAAAAAACTAAGGCCGCCGGCGCCAGCCGACATCCCCCCATGCCCAGCGCGCCCCCCGGCCGCCATGCAACACCAGCCAAACCAGCAACGAGGCAAAATCAACTAGCTCAGCTGCAGGCCACCAACAACCCACCCACCCATAATGGGCCGAGAACTCCAGGCACAAACCCAGAACAAACCGGAGCATGGCCCTGCCCCGCACCCACACTGCACATCCCGAAAACTAACTATATACCTCAGTATCCAGAGGGGTCCAACAACTGGCCGACAGAGAAATGGGCAAGCACGGATCCGAGGCCAACGAAGCAAAACAGGAACGCAAACAGGTCCCTCCAAGCCAACGAGGAGATACCTCCCCCGGACTCCAACGCACAAACTAAACGCCCAGCAGCCATCCAGAGACCCTGCCCAGGGAAAAAGTATAATGCATCAAGATGCATCGATAATCGCCCCACAATCCCACCGCAGCCCACCAAACCGCAATTGGTGATTGCAAATGATTTTAGTATAAAGCCATAGTGACTTCGGCTACGCACAGTACAAGACATAACATAAGATGTAACATTATTAAATAAATTTCAGTCGACACAGCAGCACAAAGGTATATAAACGAACAGAAACAGTATTATAGAACTATCAACACACTATTTACACTATACAATCAGTAATGATCACTTACAGACATGCAGCAGAGAGGACAGGTAAATGTTGTGCTTTTCTTATCACTTTGATACCAATGAAAAATATGGATTAATGGGGTATTTAACTAACTGTTGACGTTCAAAGTAGGCTAATTAGCTTCTGTATGGACGGCCTCACTAATGTCACATTTTGCATCATTAAATGTGCTTGTCTGTATCAGGAATATGGTCTTCTATAAAAGTATGTTTTAAGAAGAGTTCTCTGATGCTGGACAGTTATCACTGTGTACCGTTATAGCCAATACATTTGATGTCATTAGAAGGAAAACTGTTGGTTGCTGCTAAACAGCGGGGAGGCGACGAATGGTTAAAACATTTAAACAAAATCCAACAGATGATCCTGGGAAAAAGGATCGGTTGGAAGCTGGAGGTCGGAAAAGAGGAGAACTAAAAAGAATGGAGAAGCTGAAGAAAACAGCGGGTAGGCACAACTATGTTGAGAATGGGCCAGCGTGGGGAGATTCTGACATAGCCGATAGTGACGGAAGCATGGAGATAAGTCAAGATGGTGGGAAAATGAGGGACAAAAGAGAAAATACTTTTGCTGGGACCAGTACAAAGAGGATCAGGAGTAATGAAGAGTACAAGAAAGGATTAAAGCAAAAAGGTCAAGAAGGGCTGGAGTTTAAAATCATACTGAGATTTGGTGAGAGGAGGGGGAATTTCATCAATGGGTCCGGTGAAATTGACAACTGTCTTGAGAAACCAGGTCGGGGACATTGTAGTAGCCAAGGTGTTAAGAGATGGCAATTTAATGATCGGTTGTAAAAACAAAGAACAGAGAGAGCGGGCTGGAAGGATTAAAGAAATTGGGAGATTCAAAGTAATAAGTACAAGTCAAATTGAAAGAGGAAGTAAGTGGAGTAAAGGAGTGATTTGGGGGGTGCCAGTCGGAGTTACAATGGAGGAAATCAAATCAAATCTAAAAGGAGGAAGTCTAAAAGGTTGCAGGTAACTCGGGAGGGAGTGAGGAAGGATAGTGAGCATGTGGTACTGGAGTTTGAGGAAGAAATGCTCCCAAAGAATGTAACACTAGGTTTTTTGAGTTCTAGCGTAAGAGAGTATGTAACCAATGAGGTGTTACAACTGTCAAAGGTTTGGACATACAGCAAATGCATGTAAAGGCAGAAGAAGGTGTGCTACATGTGGAGAAGATCATGAGTATGGTCACTGTAATCATGAGCAACCAAAATGTTGTAACTGTGGGGGAAATCATAGTGTGGCTTATGGGGATGTGAGGTGATGAAAAGGGAAATTCAGAATAAGGTCACATATGCAGAGGCAGTGAAGATGGTCAGTAAGAGTAGGGGGAGTGAGGAAAGAAACAGAGATGAAAGACAACCCATTACAGAACCAGATCAGGCAAAGGAGGGAATATTAATGGTGGATTTAAAGAAGCTAGTCACTTTCACAGCAGAGGTTAAGTCTAAAACAGAGAATACTGATAATTGTAAAGGCAGCAGCTCATCACCTAAATATCAGCGGGTTAACATGGGAGGAGGTGAGGAATGAGCTTAGCAGTCAAGCAAGCCAGGAGCAAGCATGGGTTGGATAATATTAACAATGGTCCTCTTGCTACAATGGAATACTAGAAGTTTGTTGGCCAATGGACAGGAATTTAAAAAGTACATTGATAATCTCCCCAATAAACCAGATGTCATTTGTGTACAGGAAACATGGTTGAGACCAAATTTAGATTTTAGTATAGTAGGATATGCCTCTGTTAGGTGTGATAGGGGGGATAGAGAAGGGGGAGGATGTGCAACATTTATTGGGAATGATATTTCATTTAGCGAAATGAGTGTAGGGGGGAAAGAGCAAGAATATGTTACTGCAGAGATATGGACAAGTGAGGGAGAGCTTGTAATTATAAACTATTATAATCCTTGTAGGAATTAGAGTTGGGGCGGCTGACACAAATGGTGGGGCTGGATGGTCGTATGTGGGGACTTTAATGCACATGGCACGTTATGGGGAGGAGTAACAGATGCAAAT